CTTGTTCTAACTGGTCCATGTCTTTCTTAAGCTGCTTTTTCACTCGAACTTTGCATTATGAATTATCTCAGCTTCTCCTTTCCCTCTCATCCCTTTAAGCCAAATCTATTTGTTGTAATCTGTTGTTAATTTAAGAGTCCAAGCAGGCAGAGCTCAGTAGGGCATCACTGCTCCAGGAAGTCCCACTGCCAACAAGATCTGCCAAACCTCCACAGGTTTTGCATTCAACTCGGCAGCTCCCTACATTTACTGCAGACTTGACCTTCTGAGCCAGCTACAAGCTCCATTTCTTCAGCAGTTCTTGAACACGCAAACCCTCTTTTCCCTCATATCCCAAGAATGTGGTGGGAGACAGGAGGAACTCTTGTGTGATCACATAGTAAAGATGAGCTCGTAGTGAACATCTGAGCAGCAGAGAACCTGTATCCCTGGATTCTGCTTTGGTTCACCCATGGAAACCCCCAGGAGCTGCCTCCGTGCTTGGGCAGGGGCTTTTCTAAGCATTTCAAGCATTTACAGTTATTCTGTACTGTGGACTCTGCCATGTCAAGCATAAAATCAGCAGGGAAGCATGGAGGCTGCCAACCATCCAAAGGCTTCCTTGCTGTTTGCAGGCAGAACAAAAGGCTCTGCTTAACAACTCAGGTACATGCTTGGACTTCATGGTTTATTGCTAAGAAAAAAAAAAAACCTGTAGCTGTTCACATATTTCTCTTTAAGACTGCTGAGCACAAATTTGGTCTCGTATATTTTGGGCAGTGTTTGTAAGACACTGCAGCGTTCCTGCTTTTCCTAGGGAAGGCATTGGCCTTCCCCTGCAAGCAACCCGCAGTGCCTCTCCAGCTGGCAAGCTGCATCTTCTAATTTTATTTCAGTCTGACCCACCTTCCTGGCTCTTTTAAATCTATCCTATTTTCTGCCCAACACTGTGCAGTTAACAGAGCTCTATTAGAAGCTAGCATGGCTAACCTACATAGTATAGAAACGCTGAGACTTTGCAGAGATTAAGCTTTTGTTTCCTTTTTGTTCTCAAGAGATGGGCCTTGCACAGAACATAAAATAAGGCTGAGGAAGGGAGAAGCATTTGAACCAGAAGACACAACAGCTTTCAGTGCTGCTCACTGCAGGTCAGAGCCCCCGAACTGTCAGGAGACACATTTTCACAGGCATGTGGGGTGTAGAAAAAAAAAAAGACTAATAGTGTAGGAGCTCACCTGTAGTGCCAGCCTGGCAGCTGGTGCACACAACCTCCTTAGTGCGGGGCACGATGGCACAGCTTGAGCTGCCTGGGCACGGGCAGGGCTGGCAGTCTGAGGCTGTGCCTGCTGTGGCATCTCCGTAATACCCATCACTGCACTTCTCGCAGTGAGACCCTGCCGTGTTATCCCTGCAATTGCACACACCTGCAATAGAGAGGGACACAGGTTTTGCTTCATTGTCCAAACCAGAAAGAACCACCCCCTTGCTGCTCCCTGTTTTGTCAGTCCCTCTTACCCGTCTCGGGCTCGCAGGTCTCGCTGTGCCCGTTACAAGCACAAGGCACACAGGGGCTGTAGGGTCCAAGGCTCGGTGTTTCTCGCCGGTACCCAGAAGAGCAGCGCTCACAAAATTGCCCCTCATATCCCACTGGACAGGAGCAACTCTCCACCCAGGCCACGGGCACGCCAGGTCCAGGGCGAGCGCTTGTGATGGTAACATCATCCAGGTGGCCAGCACCTAGAAAACACCAAGAGGGGAAATGCTTCGTAACCACAAAGCTTCACCAAACACCCATCTGAATGGTACCAGAGACAGACAGGTGGATGCTCACAGTTGGTTAAGATGAATCAAGAACCAAAATAATCCAGGAAAGTTTAGACAGGTGAGAACAGATGCAATATAGCAAAGAAAGTTGAGAATAACAATACAGAGGAGGATGCTGAGAACAGCACGTGAGCAAGTACAGCCAGTTAAAATAAGTTACATTTTGCATGCATATGGGTTCCATTTCTAAATCAAATACCAAAACCAATTCCTGTCTTTCTAGGGAGGACAGACCATCTCTTCAATACACTGTCTCCAACACAGCATCTGCAAACCATGCCTCAGGCCAAACTCTTCAGCTATCCCTCTCAGGCCATTCCTTTGTCTGGCATTTGAAAACTCCCCCCTCTCCACCCAGCTCCTTCCCTGGAGCAGAACTGAGCTGGGACACAACATAGCTGGTTTTTAACTTACAGCAGTTGGTTTGTACCACCACAGCAGCTCCAGAGCACCAAGCAGAGCCTCAGCTCCCACATACTAGCAGCAGCTACAGCGCTCAGGGCATGGCTTGCTCCACACCTTTCCTCCCCTCCATGTCACAACCCTACATCCCTCTTTACGAGCAACCTCTAGTGAAAACATCTGCAGCTTTCCCACCTTCCCTAAATACAAACTCACCCTCTGCATATTTCTGCAAAAATTCTTCTTCACACAACAATACCCAAGGACCCAGATATTTTTGCTCCTAATTCATGCCCAATTTTATAAACCCTCATCATGGGGATTTTTCACTCATCACAGGCAGTGCTTTCAAGACCTCACCCTTTCCATTTGTCATGCCAAGGCAAGACCAGGAAAGAGGGGGGATGTAACCACTCCCAGTGCAGCAGAAGCTGAGGCCAAATGTTGTAAACTCCCTACATCTCTGCTACCATGTCCTTCAGGACTCCGTACTATGTGTTTCTATCCATCCGGAAGACACCCGCTGTGCAACACAGCAAAACACCCACGTTTAGATCCCAATAGTCAGCAGGTGATGTGTGCTCAGCTTTCAGTCTCAAAGGCAGTACCTTTCTCCCCAACTCCTCTCCAGGAAATACAGGAGAAGCTGTTACACAGGAAGACCAGGTGAAAAGCAATAGCACGGGCTTGGCCAAATAAGCTGCCACAGCTATTTATGACCAGGCCCTACAATAAAGCAACCCAAGCACTAGATGAATGAGCCTGCCCCTCTCTTCTGTGACGTTCCGCTCAGCAACTTACTCCTCTCACTGTACGTCCCACGGATCTTGATGGAAGTCAAGTTGTGGAGAAGCTTCTGGAAGTCAAATGCTGAAAGAGCAGGCCTCCATGGGTAATCTGTAGCTTCGTGGAGCCTGCGGAGAAGAGCCATGCATCATCAGCAAAGCTTTCAGATGCTAACAGCTGTGCCCTTTTAAAGCACCCTTTCCAACAGTGGTATGCTATTGCAACATAACTCACACACACTTACGCAACGCTGCTCGACAGCGAGCTTCAAATTAACCTGATAAGAACGCTCTCACAGGCTAAAACTAATGCAGTTTGTTTTCTCAAGAGCTCAGAGGCCAGGGATACCACAGGCTAAGGTCTCAGCTGCTCCCACCACACCTGGAGAGTCCTCTCACCTGAAGGTGTAGGTCAGTGCGTTCTCGCTGGGGTAAGGGTTGCCCTGGGCAATGAGTGGCACTGAGACTCTCATCCCAGCCCCTTCCAGCACCAGGTCCTCTGCAGAGAGGCGTGTGTCTCGCCTGTCCACGCGGAAGGAGAAGGTCAGGTTTTGTCCGTAACTCAAAACCTGGTTGCCCAAGAACTTGCCTGAAAAGGGAAGAAAACCTCTCAGTTAGAGGACAGAACAGAAAGGGCACAAGCAGCACAGAAAGCATCGCTTCTCAAATGACCTACGTGGTGCAACAAAATACATGGGGAAGTAGGTGTTCGAGATAACAGAGATATCCTGAGTCTCCGCACTCCACTGGAGTGAAACTTCTGAGCCATCGCGCTGCTCAGCACGCCACTCGTCCTCTCCTGAAAAATCAAATGTGCAACAATTAACACTCTTTGAAGACACAGCTTGGCACTCACTTCTTGTGTCATACTGCACACTGCTCGTATACAACTATATTCTGTACACTGGCACTAAGACTTCAGACAGTAGCTGTGCAGGAGGACGTACACAGCAAGCATCACCTTCCCAGTTTAAGCCCCTAACTCAAGTATTGACTCTAAACTACAAACTCTACAACAGCTACTCATTCAAAATCTTCTTTCCTAAAGAGCTGAAGCAGAGATGGGAAAACCTGCAGTCCCCTAAGCCTTGATGTGAGTTTCAGCCTTTGTACAAACTGTTCTCCAGTGGCATTTTAATTTAAAAGATGTTCTTTTCATACTACGCAGGATGAAAATATGCACACGCAGGATAGAGACTGTATGAAAAAAAGATTTCTCCTGAGCTTACAGACGCATCAGAAACACAACTGTGTGTTATTCAGAGCCATTTAAAACCCCAAATCTAAAGTGATTATAATCCTCTCAATCGGAAACTCCTGATTTGGTTCTAAAATTAAGAAAATACCCCCTTGCCCGCACCTCTCAAGCTATAAAAGGTTTGAATTTCCAATTCCTGCTTGCACCTGCACAGTGTACATTAGTGCTGGGTGCCCGAGGCCAGAGCTCTGAATTCATTCCTCCCTAGCTGAACAAATGAGCTGCTGCCTGGGAAGTTCCCAGTAACTTCAGCAGTAACCCAGCATTTCCCAGAGGGATCCTAGACGTGCCTGCCCAAGGTTTGTGATCTTGCACAGGGAGGAAGGAGCAGGGTTTTTTTAACTGCTTCTGAGTCTACAGCCCAACATGAGATACAAAGGGAAGCTCAGTTTTACCAAACTGGAAGGTGGAGGTGATGAAGTAGATACTGTAGCCGACGGCGTTGGTGCAGACTGAAGAGTGTCCATAACAGAAGCAGGGGGTACAGCCCCTCGGATTGGAGAAATCCAGATGGAAAAATCCAGGTTTGCACCTGAAGATGCGAAGGAAAGAGAATTAATTTCCCTCATGCTTACCTCAGGCCATCATTCGAATGTTTCTCATTCTTGAAACAAAGCCACAGGAAAAGAAACTCACCTCTCGCAGTGGAAGCCTTCAACATTGTCCTTGCACGTGCACCGTCCTGTCTCGACATTGCATTCCCCTGTGCTGCCAGCCAGGTTGCAAGAACAGGGCCTGAAAGAGCCAGGAGAGAAGACAACTCACTAAGAGCCACTCAAGGAAAGGTTTAAAAGGGCACAAACACAACAGAAGTTTTTCTTTTAGAGAGCAGCAGTCCCCCTTACCTGCACCCAGCTTCGGAGAGGGAGTGGAAACCTGGCTGGCACCGGTCACACTTCTCACCCATCACGCCGGGTTTGCAGCTGCACTGGCCGTAGCTGTCGCACTGCGTGCTGAGGGAGCCTGTGGGGACAGCAGGGACAGGAGCCCGGCTCTGTTAGTCTGCAATTTTTTTCAGTTTTACAAAATGGGCAAGAAATATGGGAAAAGGAACTGAGAAGCACAGCTTGAAGATGATGAGTGACAGCTTACCTAAAGGCTGCCTCTAGTTCACAGGGATTTTTCCCCCTAGCAGCTCTAGAGATGAATCATCAACTAGTCTTCCAAACTATATTCAGCTCCTAAGTATTGCTACGTACCAACCTTTTTATATATAAACATAATTTTAGCTTCAAATTGCATTTTCATCCTTATTCCTCTTTCATCCTCCATGTTACCTTTGTATGCCTCTCTAATCCCATGCCTGTTTTACCTTGCAATGCCCCATTTCCAAGATTTTATTCCATGAATCCCTTGCGTTCCCCCTAATCACTGTCTTCTGTTTGCCAGGGGATATCCTGACCTCTCCCTTTCACGCTCCAACTTCCTCCCTTGATTCCCAAGTTGGATTTAAAGACTAGACCGCCTTCCTTGGGAGCGAGGCTGCGTGTGCCACTATTAACCCTAACAAACTCCTCAGCAAAATTCTCATTTTTGGAAGAACATCTTTGCCAGTACTGCTCTGTTCAAGCAGACTTGCACAAAAAGCAGCAGCAGGTTTCTTCAATCTGCAGTGGACAAAATGCCCTTGCTCAAGCACTGATGCAGGCAGCAGCCTAGAAGTTGTCAGCATTGTAAGAGTTAACTACCAGGAGAAAAGTATTCCAATATACAGAAATAGTTGCTTCTTTCCACTTCAATCCACACCAGAAGATTAGCAAAGTGAAGAGTTACAAGATGATTAGGCTGGACAGGACAGAAGAACTCACAAAACCTTTACCATATACAGCCAAAGTTCAAATCCCCTTTGCAATCCCATTTATGATTATTTAGGAAAATACTAAAGTATTCAGACAAAAAATAGCAATCTAAACCAATCCAATCTAAACCAATGCAGGGTGCCAGCATGCCATGGGGACACAAGCTGATGGCTGAGTTATAAAGCTCTTTGAAATTTGTCCTTAAAGACGTGAGAAGTCATCTCCCTGCCTCTTCTCGATCGTCTCAGCTGCCACTAACCCTCACCCCTCTCACAATAAGGTCCGACACGAGGACCTGGAAGAGCAGATGGAGGAAGAAAGAGGCCTTTCTTGGTCAAAAATTTCACAACTGTACAACTCTCTGACCAAATTAGACAGGAGACGTACCCTGGCAGACCTCTCACTGGCTGCTTTTAGGGCATGCTGCAAGCAATTACTTATTCCAGCTACTCTATTTTGGAACCTCACATAATATCTTACTATCTGTTACCCTTTTGTCTCCTTCCCCCTTATTTGCTGTGGGCTGCTGTAGTTATGGGATCACTCCATACAGGTCAAGCACTTCCCTTGACAACAAAAGATTTGTTCTCCTGCCAGAATTTTTTCCATTTGGTTTTGTTTTGTTTTAAAGGAGTTTAACTACATATTTTGAGTTTACTTTGTTTTTTTTCTTCACCCTGACCCCCTTTTGTGTTTAAGGTTTCACTGGTTTGTATTTATAGTGCTTGGATACTCAGTAGGAGAAACTGATGCAGCTTAAAGTTCACTACAATTCTTCAGTATGAACAATTTCCAGAAATATCCACTCACATCATCTTGTTTATTAAGAATTTAAATGAGCTCTTTAGTAGCAGGAGTGTCTGGGGTAACACATATGCAGTGGGGGGTTGGGGGGGGGAAATTAAAAAAAGAAAATAATCTATTTCAGAACACATTGGAAGGAGTACATCCTGTAGAGGTGAAACATCAACCTCTGCCACCCCAACCCCAATTAGATCCAAAGATAATTGAAACCAAAATACAACTCAATAAACATTTCCTACGGGGGGGGGAGAAAAACAAAAACCAATCTCTTTTTAGCCAGTAGTTTGCAACCAGCTGCATAACCAAGAGATGAGCCTGGTTTTCTGCCTGAGAGTTTGTGAGCAGAAATGTTTGCTGTCACCACTTACCAACAGGGTTGCAGCTGCAGGGCAGACAGCCCTCCTCGCTGCCCAGGCGATAGAAGCTGTCCCTGCACCTCTCACAGTGGGCACCGTCGGTGTTATCCGAGCAGCCCCTGCAGTGGCCCCCGTGGCCCGTCGAGCGGTACAGCTCGGGGTCAAAGTAGCACTCCTGTGACCTCCCGTTGCAGTCACAAGCTGCAAAGACAAGGTACCATCAGTGAACAGCACACACAGCCACCTGACTGGCACAACAATCACTACACACAGCTTGGTATTGAGTTGTAGGGAAGCTGGAGTAGGAGACTTTAACTTATCCCAAGACCCACGCACAGACCCCCGCCCTGAGGTATTTGTGCATCAATAAGAAGAAAAAAGGGGAAGGATGTTTTTGTGGGGAGGGGGAAGCAAGGCTGTAATGACAAAACAGTCTCCTCAAGACCATTTTCACCCACATCCAGAAGAAAATCAGCATTTTCTACCCCACTCCCTTCCACGTCGGGCTGCTGTTCGCAGCCAAACTGCCACCCTCCCACACAGCAACGCTGATCTTGGTCATGCAAACAAGCCTGAGAAGATAATGCCATGACTCCCAGCTGTAAGGAGAGTTTCTCCCTTGGATGCAGACAGATTACAAATCCCATCTGTCTAGGGAGCAGGAGACCCGGGTTTCACCAGCCTGTCAAAGGAAGCCACAACTCTTGACCAGACAGCTGGGACCGATCAACACACCCAGAGGTCAGATAGGAAGAAAGCTTTTCTGTCTAAAAAAGCTTCCCCATAAAGTAAACTACCAGGAGCTGTGGTCTGCAACGCAAAACCAAGCAAAATAAACTGGCGTCCTGTCACAGAGATCCGCATTTGTGGTCCAAAACTGTTGCAACAGCCTCGAAATTGGATGAAATGGTAGAAAAGAAACGGTAAAAACCAAAAACCTAAATACAAGAGGAAGTCAGTGGATGCTAAATCACCAAAGGGCGATCATACTCCAGCAATACTATATACAGATTTTTTCCTATGGGTCTCAAAGTACAAGCCTGTACATTTTCACAGCACATCTCTTTCCTCAAGGTTGCTCACATTGCTCTCCAGAAAGGAGATGCCCCTTTCTAGGATCTAACAGAAAGTTCCTACAGGATAGGAGTGGAATGACCACCAGTCCCACAAAATCTCTGCTGAAATACACCAGGATTGTGCCTAACATTTGGCTAACTGCAACTGAGACAACTTAAAACCAGGCAGGGCCAGCTTCAGGATGCCAACAGAGGCAGGGGACCCAACCCCTGAGAGATTTTCCCCTGGAGCGTGGCAGCACATACGCAAGCATTCATTGGCGCTCTCTGCTGTGGCTCTCCTCCACGGACGGTCATTGAAGAAAGGGAGACATTTCTCACAGTCGACCCCAAAGGTGTTGTGTTTGCAGTTGCAGACCAGCTTCCCAAGCTCGTTCTTCACACACTCGCTCGCATGCCCGTTACATTTGCATCTGGTTAACGAGAGATAAGGAACAGGTATTTAAAGTTCAAGGATCCAGGTCGCTCACAGAGCAATCCCAAAAACAAAGCCCAGACCTGAAAATCTGACACAAGACAAATTCGAAGGCAGATGGTCACAAGGAAACTGAGAGCACAACTGCTGCTCAGCCTGGAGAAGAGAAAGATTCAGGGAGAGCTTATTGAAGTCCTTCAATATCTAAAGGGGGTTTACTAGAAAGATGGAGAGAGGCTTTTTACCAGGGCCTGTAGTGACAGGACAAGGGACAAAGGTTTTAAACTGAAAAAAGGGCAGGATTAGATTGGACATAAAGAAGGAACATTTTACAAAGAGAGCGGTGAGACACTGGCCCAGGTTGCCCAGAGAAGCTGTGGCTGCTCCTCCCTGGAAGTGTTGAAGGCCAGGTTGGATGTGGCTTTGAGCAACCTGGTCTAGTGGAAGGTGTCCCTGCCCAGCGTAGGGGTTGAGTGGACTGGATGATCTTTGAAGGTCCCTTCCAACCCAAACCATTCTACAAAATAAATAAGTGTAACATGCTCAAGGCAGGCATTTAGAAACTCAAGAGTCCTTCACAGTCTCTCACTAAAACAGAGTAAGTTGAGTAGAAGGAGGAAAGATTTTGCTGGCTTTAGGTTAGTATATCCTCCATAGCTTCCATCTCTTGAGAGCCCAGACCATGCATGCTGGCCATGGGCTGGTATCAGTAAGAAATTCAATAGTACAAGGTGACTAACACAGAAGCCCAGGGACCTCCACAGCCTGGAGGTGCAAATCCCTTGTGCTATCAAATCCCAGTCTCAGGACTGCTCTCTGCAAACAGTCCAACACACTGCACTGGTCTCAGTTCTGTTTATGGAAACATTTTATCATCAACAACTTAAGGTTTAAGCAATTCTGCAGCACGCTTTGGCAAAAGGAACGGACAGCCACGGTATTGTACAATGCTTCTGATCTTCATAGGAGATAGTTCCCAAAACATATGTGAAGCAGATACATTGAGATTTTCTACTGACTGCTACTCTAGGCTACAGATTTACGCAGAGAACAATAACATGTTAGAAACCACACAAAGCACAGCGTAGAAAAAAAATTTGGGTTTTTTTTCATTTAGTTTTTCTTTTTTTGTCACTCTTTTACCCTCCACCCTCCCTAATAATTTTGTCTAATCAAGGAAAAAAAATATTCAGTCTCAGTCTGCCCTGAAATTATAGCCACAAGGGGTTATACACAGTATTTGCAAGCTCCATAAGATACATTCTACTGCATTTTTGGTTTAGGACAGTCAATAAAAACCAGAGCTTAATGGTACCATGTGAGTATAATGGAAATCTTTAAAGCACTCTAGTAATCCTGACCAACAGTTTTAAATAAGCACAGAGCTTTATTGTCTACTCACCTACCACCCACAGCAAAATCAGAAATCGCATAGTAATAAGACTTGAGAACTTTTGGGTCATTGAAAACTTCATCTCCAAATGTGTTCAGACGATTGAGGGTCACTCTAATATCTGTAGCCGTCACCCATTCCTAGAGCAGAGAGAAATCCCATCAGATTAAACAAACACCAAACATCCCCCTCAGAGCTAACAGTGCTGTGGCATTAGCAGCTCTATTCACAAAGTCATTCATCAATCAGCAAGTTCCTTCCTCACCATTTTCCCCTCTGCACCTCGGAAGCTCACACATCTCTAACCAAAAGGCTTTACACGGCATCCTCTTGGTTTGGATGTGTTTTCCAGACCCCACTCCTATCTCAGTGTTCCATTTCCAATGTCTCTTCACATCTTGACTGCTCTCACTGGGAAGCAGTGGGTCACATCTCCAGCAAAGACTGGGGTAGAGGTAATTCTGCGAGCTTGCTGATCATACATCTCTATTTGACTGCAATTTCCTTGCAAAGTTATACAGCAAGAATGGGAAAAGCTTTTGGGTACACTCATCTGCAGACTGATGCCTCCAGATGAAAAGACACAGACAGACAGATGAATGAGGCTGGGGGAGGCTGAGGAAGAAAAACAGACAGGCAGATCTGACCTACAACACAAGAGCTTTTCATAATATTTACACAGCATCTTCAACACTACCCTCCTCCAGCAACAGCCAGCAAATGTAACCTGTCCCCAGATGTCACATCACCTTCAGCCACGGACGGGATGGTCGTTAGTACCTCTTTGTTTTTATTACAGCTTTCACAACATCATTTTCTTCCAACACCATAAAACCAGGAAGAACACCCCAGTACGTACAATTGCACTGCAGCAGTGTTGCTGCTCAGCCAGTACAAGAAGATTTGCTGAATTACAAACACTGGCATAAACACATGGAAAAATGCTGAGCACAAAATACATGTTGACTTCGGCCCAAAAGCAATGCCAGACATCCGTACATCTTGTAAGAAACCAGTGGTCAGGTCTATTCCTTACACAGAGGAGTTGATCAGAAAATCATACGCCGTATGGCTAACTTGAAATCTCTCCCTTCCCCTTAACGATTAGACCCTGCTCTCTGCAAGGGGCAGCTACACCAACAAGGTGGCCAAACTGGTTCTTTTCCATTTCAGGAGTTCTTCTCCCTTTCCCATTAACCTTTATTTTCTTTTGCTGAAGCGAGTCCCACCAGATTCTGCTCTCCTGTCCACTGACCAGGGATCAGAGCCAGGCAAGCCCCAAGCCTGCTGGGTGCTCACATCTCAGTCTGCTCCTGCTGCTCTTAAGAGGAAAGGGAAAAAGTGGCAATCACATCTCCAAAAAGAAGATAAGCCCTGATGGAGCAAACCTCAGAGCTTTAGCTCCTTGTTGCAATGCAAGTCATCAAGCAGCATACAGAAAGCAGCAAGTAAATCGGAGAAACTGGTGCTCCCACTATGCTCCTGACCACCACCCAACCAGCACTGTGAATGGTAACAACAAAAAACCCCAACTGAACCTTCTCCTCAAGCCAATCGTAAGAGAAATCAAATACTGTGGATAAAATCAAGCTCCCCCACCACAACACACGTGCTAGAGAACAGGTAAGAGTTTCCAATAACCATTTATTTGTTTAGAGAATGTCACATTTCTTAAATTTCTGTGCTCAAAATATACGTGCAGATGCCTCAAATACCCATCTGACTTCGGTTTTACCTTTCTCCACCCTTATATCTGAAACAGCAAAAAACCCACAGCTGCTTTCTAAGCTGGCAGAGATTTACACCCATCCTCTAAAGACTTCCATGAGGCCTAATGACAAGCCATCCTTCAATCCTTCACGTCACCAATTTTGCTTTTTGTACCATAAACGTACTTAGGAGAGAGTCAAGAGTTCAACTCTTCCTTCAAAAGCACCTCTTTGGATTGTCCATCCCACCTTACCTGTGCAAGGGCCTCTCAGTAGAATAAGGGCTGTAGTGCAGCCCACAGTCAGCACAAAGCCACCATCCACAACGACTAAACAGAAAAGACTCCACTCAGACCACCTGATTGACTTTGTCCCGCTCACATACCTGTAGCACGGGGCTGTTGTCAAAGTTATAGGCGCTGGGTCGCCCCTCCAGCGTTGAGAACGCCACGTTACCCCCAGTGAGAGGGGAGATGTCACTGAACTCATCCGTGCAGAGCGCCTGCTGCTCATCCTCCCCAGTCCGAATAAAGCCACGGTTGACTTTGTGGTAGGTGCTCTCACAGGAGCCACTGTAATACTGGTAGGGTACCCATGGGCCATCCTCCCTCGTGCGTTTGTAGATCGCAAAGCTCTCCGGCCGACTGGTGTGGAACTTCAGCCGCACGTATGTGATGTCAAATGCCTTTCCTGCAGATGAGAGGAGAGGCATGAGAAAGACTCAGATCATTTAAATTTAAACAACTGTGAAAGCTGCACTGCAGTTTTCTCTTTAGAAGAAACATCTCTAGTACCATCAAGCAGGATGAGCAGAGTCCAGCAGCACCAAAGTATCCCTTCCAGTCCTATTTCCCAGTAAAGACAAGGTGAAGGAAACAAAGGCAGAAGTCAAGGGCAGGGTGAGTAGATAAACAAACAGAACTACAGACTTCTGTGCAACCAAACACACATCTCAAACTGCAATTCTCTTCTGCAGACATCACTAATGATGTCCTTGTCCCAAGAGATGATATATTACCTCAGATTCACAAAGAGTTTGTGGGTATCTTAAAGCCAGGTCCACGTTAACCATACCATTCGATAATATTTCTTCCAAATACATGTATGGGAGAAATAGTATTAACCAGAGAGGTGAGTCACCCTGTAGGGCCTGTTTGGACCTCTGCTTCCTCCCTAAACAGACAATATCTCAAACTCTTTCTACTACTCATGAAATCTGTCCTCCAGCAGTGAGCTACTGAGTACACCCTCTTCTACTCATTCCCTGTTAAAACAAAGTTTAAGTTTCCCATATGATTAAAGTCTCCAAGACACCTTTCAGATCAAAGTGCAATGAGTTACAAGCTAGCCATGTTCTCCCTCTCCTAGGAGGATAAACGTCAACCCACCTCCCTGCCCTCTATTCATCTCCTAACTGGTATGGGGCAATCAGCAGAAAATCCTCATGGCTTTTTCTCCAGGAAGAATCTCATGTCCAGAGAAGGGCAACAAAGCTGGTGAAGGGTCTAGGGCACATGTCTTATGAGGAGCAGCTGAGAGAACTGGGGTTGTTTAGGCTGGAGAAAAGGAGGCTAAGGGGTGACGTTATTGCCCTCTACAACTCCCTGAAAGGAGGGTGGAGAGAGGTGGGGGTGGGTCTGTTCAACCAAGGACCAAGGGACAGGACAAGAGGAAATGGCCTCCAGTTGTGGCCAGGGCAGTTGAGATGGGATGTGAGGAAGAATTTCTTTGCTGAAAGGGTTCTGAGGCATTGGAAGGGGTTGCCCAGGGCAGTGGTGGAGTCCCCATCCCTGGAGGGATTGAAGAGTCATGTAGACATAGTGCTGAGGGACATGGGTTAGTCGGGGACTTGTCAGTGTTGGGTTCATGATTGGACTTGATGATCTTAAAGGGCTTTTCCAACCGAGGCAATTCTGGGATTCTGTGATGGAGACGCTCTATGACTTGTGCATCTACCCCCTGTGCACACAAACTAATTGCCCAGGGGATTCACACCACTGAGAAAACCCATCAGGGGAACAGGACCCCAGCAGGATTCAGCCACCTCCCTCTGCCATCCCCACGGGGCGAGGGGCACGTTCCCAGGAGAAGGAGTACAGCTGTGCGCCAGCTGCTCTTGCTCCACCTTGGCGAGCAGACCGTGTACAACTAGGACACCCTGGCGCACGTAGGGAACTCGCTAAAACAACGTGAGGTTTGTCTGGAACAAAACCTCAGGCGTTTAGTCCCTGCCATGCTCTTTTACACTCCCACCACCTCCAAGAAAAACACTGCTCTAAGCAGAGGTTGCAGCAATGGCTGGTCCTTCCATTGAATAAAAAAAAGAGCTACTAGAAGAGTTTCAACTGATGGAGAAACAGGTTTTCTCCACCTGCAGAAGTCACCACACACATTTAACCTCAATTTGTAAAACAAATTAACTTTTCACTGCGTTAAATTTTAACACGAGGCTTTGCACCTGCTGAAGAGTGGTTGTCTGCACAAGCTCCAGCAGACCAGACGGCACCAGGCAACAAGAAGAGCGTGCCCCAAAGCACACAGGCAAAACCTGATTGTGATGAATCAGGTTCCAGTCACCAACCACGGTTCTCACTCACCCACCAGTTAGAGTGGGACCAGCCTGCACTGGGCAGGTCACACCCAGAGCCTGGCCAGCGTGAGGGAGGAACCTTTGTCCTTTCTGGCTGCTGGAAACACCAAAAGAGCAGGAGAAGCACGGCAAAAGGTCCAGAAATTGCACAGAATCACACACAGAAAATTCCATATTTCAGAAAAATTACAGAAAATCAAATATCATTTAAAAAAAAAAGTAAAAATCAAGACATATAGGACCCAAAAAATTTACACCTACATGTCCGGAGGATAAGAAAAGACCAATCTTTTGGTTTAAAGCCAAAGCAAGCAGCTGCTATCGCAACCTACCAAAAAGTACTACCTGCACGTCACACACGAGGCAGCTGGGCTGTGGTACAGACACAAACCCCCAGTAATTCCCACTAAATATCCTTCTACTGTTCACATATCGTGCATGAGGTTGCAGATGACCTAAGCACAAGACTGGAACCCAGACATTCACAATCTGCAGCTCCTACTCAATAGGTTAGGAGCTTAGGTTGCCCAAGGAAGTTGTGGATGCCCCCTCCCTGGAAGTGTTGAAGGCCAGGCTGGATGAGGCTTTGAGCAACCTGGTCTAGTGGAAGGTGTCCCTGCTGATGGCAGGGGGGTTGGAACTGGATGATCTTTAAGGTCCCTTCCAACCTAAACCATTCTATGATTCTATAATATTAGCTCGCTTTTGGTTTGGGGTCAAGTTATTTAACACGATCTTCTTGCACACAGAAGACAAGCGAGAAGCAATCACACCATTAATGCCAAACTGCTTCCGCAAGGGCTAGAAACTCCCGAGGATCAACACTCAACACTGTCACACAGCTTAGGCTCACCCTCCCCTTGCTGTCCAGTACAATTCATCCTGTTTCCATTTATCTGGAAGTGTTTTTCATAAGGATCTCAATGCGAGGCAAGAAGCAGACAACAGGTGTATCAATCAGTCCCTCCCAGGTTTTCCATTTCTCCTGCTACGTGGTTTCTTCTCAAGAAGAGAGCTCCTCACTGAAGGTAAAGTATGCTTCAGAGGTGAAGAGCACACACACACAGAGAAGCTCAAGGTGAGCACACAGACACAAGTCCAGAGGCCAGAGCTGCACAAGTATCTTTTTCAGGCCTGTGATAAACTCAAGATATACTCCCCATCTTGTCTTGATAAAGGCAAGGAGCTCCAGAAGCAGATTCCTCCTCATTCTTCTGCAGGAAGACTCTGTGTTGACCTGTAACTTGCCACCCCAAGAACTTCACCGACACCTTGAATGGGCAGCAACTAAAATCAGACCAACTATAATGGTTTGTCACTAATAAAAATGTCGTTATCAGCTTAATGAGAAAGTTTTCTTTGAGCTCACACACTAAAGCAAAACAAAATAGGAGGCTGAAAGTCACTGCCCTTGTGAGATTTCGTTGGGCAATTTTCACAACAAGTGAAAATGGTGAAGACATCAGACAAGAACAGCCATTCCAGGAGTCAAGATGGATTAAAAAAAGTCAGAGTCAACAGCATGAAGAGCATTCAATTAAATTGTGTCAACTTAATTGTCAAGAATACTCTGCTACTTTGACTTGGGTTGGTCAGTGCCAACTGAATGACCAAGAATACCTTGCTACTTTGACTTGGGTTAGTTTTCTTCTAATACAGCATTCCTCTAGCGTGAAGCAAAAAAAACCCCTGCGTTCAGGCTTCATCAAGATGAATTCAGGGAGGAAACGCTTTGAAAGAATCCTGGGAATGAAGAGGGGGCCGGGCGTGTGTTCTCACTCCACAAACACACAACTTTCTGCTCTCCAGAAAGGCCAGGTCACAGCCTGCACGTCCCAAGGAAGAACTTTTTTTTGTTTCTTTTTTTTCTTTCCCCTCTCCATGATAACTGGATTATGCTCCTTGTTCCCTGACAAGGTCTCCTACAGTTCCTTGCAAAAATTCCAGCTCAGCTAAAGACACAACACGTGCAAACTTCACTCTGAGCAGCACGAAAGCATTTTCCACGGAAATCCCTTGTACTAAATGGAAAGGACCCTCCCTTTTTCATCTTCAGTTTTACACGGTGGGCCAAAGAAAATGCATTCAAAACCCTCCTGCCCAAGCGACGCAGGTGAAAAGACATTTATTTCAGCTGGCAGGGTAACTA